CACTGTGCAGGAAAATATTCCCTGTCAGTGTTTTACTTTCCTATCTGATGTTTTTATATTTTAATATTACTTATATGTGCATGTTGCATTTTAATGTTGTAGATGTTTAAGGTTGAGCTCATATTAACAACTTTATATTGGGTAGTTTAATCCAGGGGTTCCCACACTTCATCATAATTATGACTTTATATCTCAGAATCATAACTTTTTATGTCAGAATTTTTACTTTTTCCCTTGACTTTTTTCTAAGAATTTATTATCTTTATCGCATGGTTCTGACTTTTTATTTCAGAGTTATAACATTTTAAATCTTGTTATTTTGACTTTTTTTCTCATACTTTTTACTTTTCAATTCTGCTATGGGGATATTTTTATTATACTATTATTTATATAATTACTAGTTACTGTCAGAAATGGCCTTCCATACAAATATGATTATGATGTATTATATATTATTTTAAATAATATTTTAGAATAATACACATAATAATAATTATTCAATTTGATTAAACTTTTTTCTTTTCGCATTTTCCCTCAAATTTTCTGAGACCACCCTGGAACCTCCTGGCGGCCCCCACTTTGAACAACACTAGTTTCATCTACAGAAATGTGTCTTATTCTATAAGATCATCACGTTTGTAGCGTTGTTGTCCTGCGAGAACCACGAGAATATCACCCGGTTTTCAGCTTTGTGACGATGCATTTTCCAGATGATCCAGGAGGGTTTTTAAATCATTTATTTAGTCTAAGAAGTGGGACAAAATGCCTCTTCATCTTAACCACTTTACTGCTACACACAGAATATCCAATTGTTATAAATGGTACGCAGGTAATTTAATCACTCTGTCTCCCACGTCGCAGACGGCGACTAATACACGCGTCCTTTTCAATCAAATCCTATTTTGCCACTGAAACATATCTGCATATTAATGAAATGTGTAGAAGAGAAGGTCGAAGTGGTTTGAATGCACTCGAGGCACAGATTGCACAGACTCACTGTAATGTAATATGTGTCTTCAATACACACACACACACACACACACACAGCAGTTCTGGTAAATGTAGGAGAGAATTAGCTCCCAGTGTGTGTGACTCATCTGAGCACATCTGTTTGTAGGTGGGAGAGCGACCTGTGTGTCTCTCTCTCTCTCTCTCTCTGTGTGTGTGTGTGTGTGTGTGTGTGTAGTCTAATTACATGTGCTGGTGTGTGTGACATTCTCCATGCATGACTGTGTGTGTGTGTGTGTGTGTGTGTGTGTGTGTGTGTGTGCCTCATACTGTGTTCATTGTAACCTTTGTTTACCATAAACACTGGAGACAGATGCTGTGGGCTCTGACTCTGTTGTGGATTGCTCTGTTTAACTTCACTGAGCGGAGGCACAATAGGACACTGAGGACACCCCCTTCAATTAAACTGCTCTAAGTGTGTGTGTGTGTGTGTGTGTGTGTGTGTGTGTGTACTGTCTTGTATTATGTCCTTGTGGGAACCAGTTTTTGCTTCATATGATAAAATGTTGGCCTTTTGTGTTGGCAAAAATGGCAATTTTGACTGTCTTTAAGTGGCTCCCAACCTGGGGGTCGGGACCACCACTAGGAGCTTCATGGATTTTAAAGGGACATTGTGTAGTGTTTTAAGTATTTTATTAGCTAAAATCAATGTCTTCATTCATAAATGTGTCCTCATTGGTGTAAAATTACCTCTGCCAATGATCTGACTTATCCTCGTAAGTGAAGAATTTCTTATCTGTATATACATTGGACGGGCAAGTCCATGTCGTTCCGCCATTTGAAAAACTATAATCACCGAGAGGGACATAAAGCACTAGCCTACCTGTCTAGCTAATCCACAACGCGTTTTCGTTCAGAGCCAGCGTCACGTGACTGAAACCAGCTATAACGGAGAAGGAGATCAGTGAGAGGCGCTTGTCACTGCCCCGGAACATTTGAAAGTCTGCACTGCACTTTAGTTCATAATGGAGGATCATACTTATGCCGAGCCACAGGAGAAGGAATCCTCGTCGCCAAAAAAGCGAAAAAGGGAATTAAAAAGGCAACGTGACTGGCGAATTCAAAAAACGAGGGTAAACATCGGGGTAGCTTTTCCCAGGTGGAAAGAGCTAATGAAGGAGAAAGACTTTGAAAGGGACGCTGAAGTTGCCTGCTTTCTCCTCGACAGGTAGGCTTCTTGGTACATAACGGCTACCGTAGTTGCAATACGCATTTGAAAACGCGAGGCACTAGAGAGCACTATTCGTTTAAATGCAAAATCCAGTTTCACCGCTAGATGGGAGAAATTCCTACACAATGTCCCTTTAAGGCGTTTGAGAAAACTAAATGACAATATACACAGAAGGCCTATATCTCAGCATTTGGTTCATTTCTGTAAATGTAAAGTAAATTGTCTAATGGAACAGGGACAAGAAAATAAACCTATTAAGTCTGTATGTTAAATATGATAAATAGTACATAATACAGACAGAGAATTGTAGAAAAAGTTCCCTAAACAGGAAATAATCTGCTCAAAATTCATCCAAATCACTCGTTTTACACAAACTCCCTGCAGTTACAGTTCATTGTATCACAAAGATTAATCATATTGTTCTTTTTGGTGCTTTTTTTAATAACATTTTCACCAAATTTTACAAATCTGCAACATTATATTAATCTATTGGCATAAAATGCATAACTATGTTTTCATTAGTGTATAATCATCTGAAGAATTGTTCTGTTTTCGTTGAATGAGACGTGTCTACGGATGCCGTGAGTCGCCTTCCATAGGGTCCACCATGTTTCTACAGTAGCCCAGAAGGACAAACCAAACACTGGCTCTAGAAAGGGTGTTTTCCTCGGCTGGATTCTCCTACACATTTGGAAGGAGTGTCGAACCCTGTGGGATAGTTCGTGGTCACTCACAATAAGACACTGAGTAGTAACTGTGTGAGCTTTAATCTGCTTTATTGTTAGTCGGTTAGCTTATGTGCTATACAGCTCGCTGGCTAACCCGCAGTGTTGGGGGTTACTGTAATTAGATTACATTTATCTGTAACGCAGTAATGTAACACGTTACTGTTGATAACGTCAGTAATCACATTACAGTTACGAATCAAAAATGATCTTGTTACTTGCGTTTCTTTGGGAGGACCGAAAACACAAATCAAACGTCCCTTTCTATGTGTGCTTACGTCACTCACGTCACGTGACATGTAACGTACCGGCGCTCGGACCCGATCGACTTCCGGCTTGACGCACTTTCCCGTCTTTTCGCGGTACTTCCCGGCACACGATCGCCATCTAACGTAAGTCCAAGGAATTTCTACATTTTACAGAGTCTATATGTGGTTTTTCATACATATACAGCAACATTTACATGTCTAATTATTATATGAGAGTTACTTTAATGAGGGGAAGCCGCAGGAACACTTAGATTGCGCTTGGGCGACGATCCAGTCAACTTTAAAAGTCTGTTTCTATTTTCACTTAACAGCTTAAAATAAGCTCTCATATGGGTACATATCGTAGCTAGGTTTACACTTATTAGTCTAGCTTATGAAAATGTCGGATATTGTGTTTATACATAATCTGTGGTCGAGGTGGGCGGAGGCCAAATTTTATTTATTGAAATTGAAAAAGACGCGGGAAAGGAGAACAAAGGAACAGAGCACACCCAGCATTGGTTTTTTATCTGTGAAGTATTACAATACACATGAAGATTTAAGCACAGTAGCGTAAGCTTCCATTCACTTTTGATTGACAGGTGTCCTGACACGACCTTCGACCAATCACAGCGCAGTAGCTACAGTACAGTGAGGCTAGTTCGTAGTATTGCGGGTGTTAGCATGAACATGAACGAGGTGGATTATTTACTTTCTAATCAATTTTCTTTAAAGTCTTTGGAGGAAAAAATGGAAATACAGAGATTGGGAACACATCATCCAAACGATGTTCAAATAACACAAAAGGACAAATGACAAAATCGTAGTTTTGTGTTACGTGGTTTCAGCTAACGGACTCTGAACTGCTGACCACAGATGACAATCAGCCACATCCAGATGTGGAAACAGCTGCAGCTGCTGTAACGTCGCGCAGGATGTGGCGTTCTGATAATGTGTCAGTAGCTGCACACTGCGCTTTGAGAAAGCCAGGCACTTGTTGTCTTTGCATGTGCACATTAGCCAATGATCTGCAGGCAGACACTGAAAGGTGAGCTGATGGTGAGGTACAGCAGGGTGGAGTTTGACATGGTGATTAACCTGTTTGCGTCACAGAAAGGCCGTCGATGTGAGCTTTTAAAATAAGGTATGCCCAAGCTCTGAAACAACTCTCTCTTCTACAAATAATTATTTTTGCTTTGGTTTTGTAGATTTATGGTGTTGTAAATTGTTGCTGGTACTTTTCTATAATGTAGTTGTAGCACAATTGGCATGTGCTTATGTGTACAGATTAGAGAGAGAGAGAGAGAGAGAGAGCGAGAGAGAGATTGTTCTTTGGCATCAGGTCATTCTTTTGGGTATGTCTCCCCAGTGTTGCCGTAGAGTACTTGCTATAACAAAGTATACAATGTTGTTGCTGTAACTTGATGTGATGCTGCTGTTGCTGCTGTGTGGCCTATTGATGAGTGTAATGCATTAAGCCCACCCACCCAAAATCTCCACCAGCCGTCACTGTGTGTGCGTGTGAGTAAGAGAGAGAGAGGGAGGGAGGGAGGGGTGTGAGAGATGTGTTGAAAGCCAGTAGAGGCACTTATGATAGAAAATATTGGTTATATAGATACACCTCCTTATGTATAATAATAGTATTGTTGAAACTCAATTTTGCTCGTGTTTCTGTCTGAGAACAGAGACTACAGAGAAGAGAGATGTGAGAAGACAGAGAGAGAGACCTGAGAAAGACAGAGAAGAGAGAATACAGAGAGAGAGAGACGTGAGAAAGACAGAGAAGAGAGAAGACAGAGAGAGAGAGAGAGAGAGAGAGAGAGAGAGACGTGACTCGAGCAGGAGCAGAAGACGCGCAAAAGAGGAAGAAGACGAGGAAGGAGAGTAGAGGCAACAGAATGGAAACATCATCATTTGAGAGATGGAAATTCGGCCACTACTTCGAACTTGTAGAAAGAAAAGAAAAGAAAAGAAAAGAATTTGACTGTGAAATGTAAGTTGTGCCCGGGGCAGAAGCAGCTATCCACCGCTGCCAACACAACCTCTAACCTGACCAAGCACCTGCAGGTTCATGGTAGCATGAAGCTAATGGCTGCTAAAGATCAGACCGAGACTGCTGAAGAGAAGATGCTGGGTCCGACACCACCAAAACAGGCAAGGCTTGACTTTGAGCAAAAATATGCAACAAAAGCGGAGATAGATAGGCTTGTAGCCGCATATATTGTGGAGGAAATGTTGCCTGTTTCCACGGTGGAATCAAAACTTACTGAGCAACATACACATAGCACGGAGCGGACGCCCGCCATCAGACAGGAAAACCTTCACAAGCTACCTGGACCAGTGTTATGTTAAGATGGAAACTAGCTAAAGAAAACATTTGAGAGCTTAGAATCTGTATCAACTACTGCTGACATTTGGACTTGCCACAATAAAAGCTTTTTAGGTATGACAGCCCACTGGATTAACCCGAGCGTGAGAAAGCTGCAGTTGCCTGCACAAGAATAAAAGGACGACACACGTACGACGTTATAGGCAGTGAAATTGAACAGGTTCACTCAAAGTTTGGTCTGTCACACAAGGTGACCGCTACTGTAACTGACAATGGGTCAAATTTTATTAAAGCGTTCAAGATGTATGAGCCTGGACCGTCAGATTCACACGAGGAGGGCGGTGGAGATAAAGATGTGGTGTTCACAGATGTTGAAGAAGTCCTCTCCAGTGGGACAGTATTCCCTACCCCCTCACTTGAGATGTGCATCGCACACACTGAACGTGATTTCTACTAATGATGTTGACAAATGGCTGACAGCGAACCCTGAGTCCAGATCAGTGTACAGAAGGGCAACTGGGAAGTGCTCTGCCCTCTGGACTAAGACCAGCCGTTCTACTGTGGCCTTTGAGCTTGTTGAGGATAAATGTAAAAGAAAACTCAAGGTGCCGACAACAACGAGATGGAACTCATTCCATGATGCCTTGTCCCGCATCACTGACATTCCCATCCCAGAGTTGAACTCCCTCTGCAGTCCACTAGAAATTAAAGCCTTCACTGAACGGGAGTATCAGTTTCTTAAGGAATACTGCACAGTTATGAAACCACTCACTGTGGCTTTGGACATACTGCAAGGTGAAGATATCTGCTACTATGGGAGTCTCCTGCCAACGCTGGAGATTTTGATGTCAAACACACGGGCACTGCAAAACGGGCTCTCTGGGATGACACTGGGGCTGCCTAATGTCATATTACAGGTATGTTTGTTTTATCATGTAAATCTGAAATCCAAATCCATTGTTTTATTTTATGTTTTATTTATTTTTCTAGTGACACCGGAGATATGTTACAGTTACTCATTAATTCACATGATGTCATGATTCACATGAAAAATACACACGCAAAATACACTACATAGCCAACTCTCCTCCTTTTTAAATTACATTTGCAGGCCATCAAGACTCGATTTGCATCGGTGTTGGACAGCAAGATGCTCTACTCCGTGACACTGCCAAAGTTTAAAGTGCGGTGGCTGAAAGAAGAGGGGGGGAAAGATGCTTTAAAGACTCCTCCTCATGAGGTATAACCACTTCTTTGATAGGAATGTCCAGTAAGATGGAAAAATTTGCTGTAAAGCCATAGTTTGTTGAGTTTGTTGTTAAATACAGTTTCATATTTAATGTTGTTTTCCTTTGAATTCTCTTCATCATCTAATATTGTCATGAGGGCAAGAGACTTATTTTATTTACAGATATTATTTTGAACAAATTCATAATTGCACTAAATGGTTGGAACAAGCACTTTTAAGTTATGTTGTATTGTAAAGAAATTAAGTTTGATGATGCATATCTAATGGCCTTTAAATAGAAAGACATTTTTGATGATACAGGTTTCCAATGAAAATTTAAATGATACATTTTATTTTGAGACATTTTGCATACTGCTAGTACTGTAGCCTTGTTCTGACACATTTTTCTGTGAGACGTTTCTTGAATTAAAGAGCATAAAAGAGATCGTGTGCATGTCCTCTTTTTAGAATAAAGATTCATGCTTATTTAGGCATCTTGTTTCATTTTATAGTGTTAATTGGCAATTAAGGTATGGTGCATCTCAGGTGATGTCATGGAGTAATCCAAAAGTAATGTAACTAGTAGTGTAACTGATTACTTTAAGCAGCGAATAACAAAGTAAAGTAAGGCATTACTTTTTTTAAAAGTAACTAGTAATGTGTAATGGATTACTTTTTTTCAGTAGCTACCCCAACACTGCTAACCCGTGGTGCTGCCCATAATCCTAACGATGCTCAAAGGCGTCTTTCCTTTGCTACTCTCTGATGTGACCGAGCACTTAAAAGTCTGTGTTTATTCTTGCTGATGGGAAGCAGAAATCCTCTGTGGGCTCTCCTGTGCGTTTCAGTTTGTGTGTGTGAGTTTGCCTGTATGAGTTAGTGCTTTTACAAGTCCCAGTCACTTGCCATTTGCTGCCATTGTGACACTGTGCTCTGATGTGAGTGTAATCACAGAGCTGCTCAGGTAATTATCATGCAAGCAGCCGGGGACAAGGACCAGCGAGCACACACACAGACACATACATGCAGCATATTTTCCATTCATTCCTCTCTGATGACTGCGTCCTCAAACGTCTTTCCTCTTTTATCTCTTCCTCATTTTCCCCTCTCTCCTTGATGAGGCATTTTCTGAGGTGATTGTGTCGTGTGTGTGCGTGTGTGTGTGTGTGTGTGTGTGTGTGTGTATCCCAGGTGGAAACACCTTGCGGTCGGGCCGTACTGTGAGTCAACATGAGATAAGGCGAAGACGTCTTAGAGAGAGCCATCACTTCGACAGGAAAATAGACACAGACTGACTCGCTCGCTCTGTGAGTCCCTCAGTCCCAGTCACCGTCAGACAGTCCACACACACACACACACACACACACACACACAGGGACGTAGATGCACACACTCATTCACACACACTCACACCTTTAAGAATAAATAAACAAGGACTGACTTTCACACTGTGACTTCCTCCTCATCAAGCAGCCTCTCTCTCTCTCAAAAAAAAAAAACACACACACACACACACACACACACTCCTGAAGTTAAAGATGCTCAGCAACTCTGAAGACAGAATTTAAAAAAGATGTGTTTCATTTTGTGTTGAATCACAGGGTATATAATATTTAAATATGTATGGCTAGTTACTTGTCAAGTCACAAGTCATCTAAGACAAGTACAAGTATTTGAGACAAGGGTCAAGTCATTCAAGAAATGGACGAGATCTCAAGTCATTTAAGAAAAGTTCACCTTAAGTCAAAGTCCAAGACAAGGGTCAATCCAGATATGTTCAAGTCAAGTGTTGTTTGAGACAAGAGCAAGCATTCAAGTCCATGTCAAGTCAAAGTCATCCAAGGTCAAGTCCTGCAAGACCAAATCAAAAGTCAAACTCGATGGAGATAAGTCCAACTCAAGTGTCAGGTTCTTTGAGACTAGTACAAGTATTTAGTACAAATTCAAAGCAGATGGTCAAGTCATTTGAGAAGTGGACAAGTCTTAAGTCAGCATCAATTGAGACAAGTCCAAGTCAAGGGATTTATTTCATAATATCCTGAAAAGAGACATCAGACACTAATCTGACAGATATTAAGATGTGCACCAACTTTAAGCTTTCCATTTGGGTACAAAACATAATTACTTTGGTTTAGTCTTTATTTATTTGCAGCGTAAATTGAAGGAGACACACAGCTGCCCATCCGTGTTGCCAACCAATTATATTTATACACAACTAATTTGCATGGCTAATGTGTTTTGGAATAATTGTACTGTAATGCTTAACAGATGAGGTTTTTTTTCTCAGCATAACCACAAAATATTAAGATTTTATTTTATTTTATTTTTTTTTTTTACAGTTACAAATATGTTTGATGTTTCACATCTAAACCACTTGGTTGAGAAAAATCATAATGTTGGCTAAACATTAAAAATGAAAAAAAAAACAGAAGAAATAAATGTGTTTTTGCATATGACAAAGTGGAATTTGTTTGGCGACTGGGCCACATCCTCAGATAACCTTCCCTTTTTAATTAAATCACCATCAGCTGCTCTCTAAATGGCTAATATAACACACACTGCTCAGCGCACACAATTTCCTCTTACACTCAATTACCTCATCAGTAATGCAGCAAACAACAAGCAAACACATCCTCCCTCTTCATAATTGACTCACTGTATATTAGCCCATTGCCACTGCTGCCTGCAAACCTTGTAATGCTGGAATTTAGTTTTTTCTCTCAAACATCATGGCCGTCCACTTTCAAAATGAGACAGTTTTGCGTTTCAAAAGACGAGCGCAGAAATTAATGATAATAATGGTAGAATATAACAAACTCACACAGCAGAGGTAATAAAAAGGATGCACAAACTGGGCTGAAATAGAACCGAGTCTGGTCTTTGTAAGAAGCTGCATCTTGAGACTAATATTGTTATGATTAAATAATAACACTTTTGACCTTTACTAAGACTTATTTATGTAACACATGTAAGTTGGTATAATATGTTATTCACTCTGTAATACTGCGTTATATAGCAACAATTTATACACTCTGTAGACAAACAGACAAGTCCATAAAGTTGTTTAGCTCTAATAAAACCTTCATAGTTTTCGCTGTAAAGAAATTCAAAGGCTGTAAAATGTTCACATGCAGTGTTATTAAAGGTTACTGTGTTATATTCTCTAGTATCAGAAAAAGACACATTTGCTAGTTGAGCAGCACTTAAAGCAGGATGTGTATGTTGTAGTGGCATCTAGTTGCAATTTACTGAACACTGCTCGCGTCTGTATTTGACGACCTGGGAATGAAAACAGGCTGTGGAGTGTGGAGGAGAAACTATGGTGAGCCACAAAACTTGCAAAAGGTTTATTAGGTAAAAGGCTTAATAAGGACCAGTTTTGTTGTTTATTTTTTGTTTTCACTGTGCCAGAATCAGTTTAGACATTGATGTGTGATGAGACCTGCACCCTTGTATGTATGACATACATTAGTAACAAATATCTTTACAGTCTATTTGTATTAATTAATACTAATACTACTAATTTTAATTAATATGTTTGACTTACTGTACGTGGAGGCTCATTTTACCAAAGATCTGCTAACTAAACCAGCACAGACGCACACTGGAGGTTCAGTGCCTTGCTCAAAAACACTTTAGTAGTTGAACCTGTGAACTTCTGTTTTTCTGGTCAGTCTCTCAGACCACCCTGCTTCTGTAACCACCCATATTATAACTGCAGCTAATAAAGTGATCAGATCTCTTGGTACAAACTGTTGTGAAGTGAAACGCTGGTGGATGTGAGCTGAATGAACAAGCACAGGAGCCCCACTACAAATCCAATTTACTAAATTCTTTCCTTAATTGGGTAATAAAAAATATTTCTTGCTGTGTGGGGAAATACCCAGTCTAATTCTTTATGTCCTTGTTATTCTCTCTGGTTGAAGGCAGCAGGAGCCCTGGGATCAGAGGCTCTCTGGGTTGATACGAATGAACAAAGGTTTTGGTTGGATAAGATTAAACATGCTGAGTCAACCTTACCGGGAATCTGTCAACTATAAATTCTGCTCAGTGTATCCCTTAAATCTCCTCTTTACACACACTTTTAACGAGTCGCTTCGTTTAATCCTGCTCCCTTTTAATCTCACTGTCTTTCTTGTCTTTGCTTTACAGATTTATTATTTCATCTTTTAATGTTTCTTCTCTTGATTATGTTGATTAGTCTTGTTTTATCTCTTCTGATATTGCACTTTGTGTGCCCAGTGTTCAGATTAATCATTTAAAAGGTTTATTGTGCTTTAAACTTTCTTTAGTAGTTCAGCATTTGAAACAAGACTCTGAGGCCATAGAGACACAGCAGTGGTTTCAGCTAAATGCTAACATCAGCATGCTAATAGTGAGAATGCTGATTTTGAGATACAACGTTGACCATGCTCACCATCTTAGTTTAGCATCTTAGTATGCTATTTAGGCCCCATATTAAAGAGCCCAACTCTATGGCAGAAATAAACATGTTTACAGCCTGGTACAAACAACCCTTTTGGTCTCTATAGTTAAATTCCCCCCTTCAGGACAACTGTACGGGGGGTGAATTTTTATACAGCTCACCTGTTTGAATTAAATTAATGCTGGAGTGACAGGAAGGTGGCGTCACATGTGTTCAGTCACCAGTCTGTGGTCCAAACTCAGTCACAGCAATCCATCCAATAGTTGTTAGTAGTTAGTAGATATTTAAGTAAAAACCACAAAATCATGGTAGCACTAAAGGAAAAGTTAGAGGATCACCAAAGTCATTAGGATTCATCCTCTGGGGACCATAAATTGAATGGCAATCCAACATGGCTAACAGACCACCTGCCCAACACTGCTCTCACGAAGTCCTTCTACTAGTAGCTGACACATAAATAAACCTGCATGCAATCTGGTCTTTTTCAAAGGAACACAGCTCTGATGCACTGGATATTGTATGTTTTTAAGACTGGATAATAAACTCCAAAATGTCTATAAAAAGCTTTCATATTTTTCACATTAATGGTTGA